TGTGGGTTTTGGCTAAAGGGTTGCGGGTCGAGGTTAAAGGAATGTGGGTTTTGGCTAAAGGGTTGCGGGTCGAGGCTAAGGGATTGCGGGTTTTGGCTAAAGCTTGATGGGAAAAGGTGTAGTCAACACCGACAATGACAACACAAATGGTGGAAGCGGGCGAGGAAACCTCTTGGACCTTTTGGATTTGTCTTTCTAAGTATTTCCAATTCACGGACAATTATATGAACATATACGCGGCACCCCGACGGGATCATCGATTTTAGGACTCATCGNNNTTAGAGACAATGCGATTCGTATCATCAACCCAAAATTGTGGGTCAGGCTGGTTGATGGCACCTTTGTCATCCTGAAATCTAGCCAACTGGAGGAGACGCATCACCTAATCAACAATGTGTTCGCTGGAATCAAGTTCACGTTGGAGAAAGAACGGAACAGACAATGATCTTTTCTGGACGTATTGGTCGAACGAACTGAAGATGGGCAACTGGAAACCGACGTCTACCGAAAGCCAACCCTCAGCTTTCAGAGCACCACTCCCTGGCACACAAGAGAAGCTAGACACAAAGGCTTTACAAACGAACAAGAACGCCCTGCAGCACTCTCCAGCTTCAAAAGGCAGAGAAATTCACCTTTTTGAGGTATTTCGACTTAACGGATACCCACGAAATTTATTGCTACGCTGTTATGGCGCTCAAGAAGATGACGATAATCGAAGCCCCAGGAGAAGCCTCAAATGCACACCCAGAAGAACGACCGACGATCAACTGAGTAACACTTTGTGTGGCCTCTACCCATTGAGCTTTATGGCATGGTCTGATCTGCACCTGTGAGAAGCCATCTTGTATAGCTCGCATGGTCGTGGAGGTGCATAAGCCATCACGCCAGGTCAAGGTGCAGTCCCGTCGTGATAAACATCTTCTACTCATTAGATGATTATCATGTACACCGTAGCAGCCCACATGTTTATTTTAGGACTTAGAGCTGTACATATCAAGTGTAGAAAATAAACGAAAACCAATATAGCTTGTATAGTTGGAAGACCATCGCTGGATTTACGAGCAGGGTATTGGTTAGTAGGCATCGCGTGCCTAACCAGCCGCTTAACAGCCACAGATTGTGTGAAATTTCTGCTATGAACGTCACTGGTGTGTGATGTTTACTGATGCAAGAAGCAGTGCGTGCAAGATCAAGACTGTCCCCTCAATCAACTGTCAAGAGTATAAGATTCCAGACTACTTCAGTTTTACAACTACTAACTAATCACCATCGAGCTGCGGTTTTGGCTCCTTTCTTTCGGCTGAACAGTGGATTATGCAAGTTAGATTATCTCAGTTGAAAGCCTTGATAAAAGCAAAGTCGGGTGTTGGAAACGTCAAATGCTCCTGTAGCCTGAAAGTAGATCTATCAGCATAACAGTTATGCAATGGTTCGTTCCAAAACCATTTCCATGCACTCAACTATACACAGACAAATATTAACCACATAGAAAACTTTCAGATGGTAAGCCTATTTTTCTTTTGTTACTTTTTCCAGCTTCTCCTGATCAACCTAAGTGGTACCTCCTCCGAAATATCTCGAGCAAGGCTTGTGGCGCAGGCACACGGATTACCAGTATCTTGCAACTGATGTACGGAGAACTTTCTCGTATTCCTAACCCGAGTTAAACCACTGTGGTCTAGCTTGACAACCTTAACTTAGGTTCAGTTTGGACGTTGTTCCGATCGTGTCTCTTTGTATCCTTTAAAGGGCTACGTATAGCAATTAAATTCTATCATAAATATACATAGATTTTTTAAACATCTATACCCTTTGATGCAGTTAAGTGCAACAAGTGAAACTGCTGCTGATCATCAGCTCCAATTAACTGTCTATGCAGAGTAAATACGTTTAAGGGTTACAATATTATGTGTGGGCATTCAAAACGTCAGGGTAAGTCAGATCAAATATATTTCGGTCGCTGTGCGATTACCAGTCATTGGGTTTGAGTTGTTAGAGACTAGTTTCGATATAGAATAATGGGGTGGATGGACATGACAGCTCCCTCGCCCATTGTTTATTTTCTATTGCAGAATGGCTCTCTGGCCGGTCGAGGATAATTCCGGTTCATTGACACCACATACGATTGGTGGGATTTACAGTTTCAGTTTTCAGTTTGAACAACCATTAACCATGCACTTTCGTGCGCCGGTTTTGGTTGCTGTCTTTTGGCTGCCCATTTGGATGAAGAAAAGGAGAAGAAAGGAAAGTTGAAAGCGGAGTCGAAAAGAAAATGGAGAATTTCAGTGGTCTAAGGTTGCACAGAAATTGAGAAGATGCACGAACGCCACTGTTTACGACACCCAGCCATATTGCTCAGTGTATCTAACCATCGGTTACGATCATCCCGAGGTCCCCAGCCAGGTAGCCTAA